CATTCTCCTCTTCTATCTGGTTAATATGTAAATTATTTTTTATGTTTCCACTAGTAACCAACAAAATCATTTGAATTCACTTTCCCTTAATTATAATCACCATATCCTCCTACCATGCTTTGTAACAAAGTGTCCATGGGAAAGGCTATGCTCTCTACCAGTTTTATTCTTTAATTTTTTCACGGGATGTGACTTTTGTTGGCTGGGCCAGCACTTAATGCCCAATCAAAATTCAAAACCTCACACTGGCAAAAATAAAACAGAGCAAGAAAAGTATAAACTCATTTACATGAACTACTAGACGCTGATGTATAAAAAAACTTTGTATATGCAGTTTCAGGAAACTGAAGTAACTGCTGTGTAAGCTTTTGCGGTAACCAATCAAGAATTAGCTCCCAAATTTACTCCAAGGCCTGTGAGCTTGTGTCTCTTCAACATTTCTACTGACTGAAACCATTAACTATTTAATACTGTCCATTCTGTTCATCAAGTCGTAAGCCACAAGATCAGAACCCATGGGTACATCTTCCACTCCTTTGCCAGCTACACTTGGACTGAACCAAACTTTTCAAAATCAGCGCATCCTGTTTGATTTACTCTGATTCCATATTGGCACCATCACAAAGATGGTTTCCTTCCATTTCCATAACATCAGTCAATTCTGACTTTACTGAAACCCTCAGTCGTGGCCTTATCAACTGCCAACTCAACTGTTCCAATGCTCCTCCAGCTATATTCCTGTTCTTAATGCTACATAAACATCAGCTTATTCAAAACAGAGCAGTTCATATTCCCAATCATCCATAACCACTACATTTTCTTCAATATTTGGTTCCAAATTTTCCAATGTCTCAAATTGAAGGTTCGAATCCTTACTTTAGATTTTCTTCCTATCCCTGTAAAATATTTTCCCCTGTAAGGGGTAAGGGTGCAGTTGGCAAGGTAAGTATTTATTGTCCTTCTCCCAACCACCCTTAAGTCAACAACACTGCCATGGGTCTGGAATCACAAATAAGCTAGACCAGGTTAAGGTCAGTGGATGCACTAGTGAACTAGTTGGGTTTCTATGTCAATCTGATTGCTGCATAATTACCATACTTGCCTCCTTTAACTCCAACATTAAATTAATATAAATTTGGCCACGATGTGCTGAGCTTCCCTGTTATTGAAGATGGTGATATTTGTAAAGCCTCCACTTGGTGTTAGTTGTTTAATTGACCACCATTCACAACTGAAAGTGACTGGACTGTAGTGCCTGGTTAAACAGTAGCTGAATCACTTCCCTCCAACTGGAAGCCTCTTCCACAGGTGTAGAACCACACTAAGATCCAGTCAAGCTCTTTTTTTTTTTAAAAATAGAAAGTTCCATTATTTTCTATCATTCAGCAATGATTTTTTATTCTTGGAGATTCTGAAAATATATTTGCAATAAGTAACATTAATGAAACCTATAATACTCTCAAGTTTTCCTTTTTTTAAATAACGCACTTGAAACTTGCGATTTTCAGCATAATGGTTGCAATTCCCAGCAGTCCAATTTGCAGCTCAACAGATGTTTCATTACCATATCTCATCAATTCAAGCCTACTGACTAAATTCAGCCCAAATTTATTCCTCTTCTGTGGGAGCACCACACAAGGAATTGCTGAATACAACTATAATTACTGTAACTGAATCATCTTATTAAAAAAAGGCAATTTACCTCCTTTCAACATAAACTGCAGAGATAAAAGCAAGCACAGCACAAAAACAAAGAAACTAGGAACTAAGAACGAACTCAATATCTTATCATACATTGCAGAGACACAGATCAAGTAATCTGTACTGAGCTGGAAATTTTAAAATTCTCATCCTTGTTTCTAAATCCCTTCATGGACTTAGCATCAACCAACCCAATTCTGTCGCCTTCTCCCGTCCTACAATTCTCCAAATCTGGCCTCTTGTGCATTCTCATTTGATGAAAGGTCACTGACCTGAAATATTAATTCTGTTGCAACCAGGCCAGCTGGGTACACTCCATATTTCATTCCAGATTTCCATTATCTGCAGTATTTTTCAACGATGTTCGTTTATTCATTCCACGATTGGTATCTGTGCTTTCAGCCACATAAATTTGAAATTTGCATCCTGGATCCCTCTGACGCCTTAAGTCATCCCTAAAAGCCTAACTAATTGAAAAGGCTTCGATCATTGGCCTAATATTTCTGAGTCTCAATACCAAATTTTGTTTCCGAGGATCTGAGGGGTCCTGAGGAAGGGTCACCAGACCCGAAACGTTAACTCTGATTTTTTGCTCACAGATTCTGCCAGACCTGCTGAAGCTTTTCCAGCAACTTCTGTTTCTGTTTCATAAAGTTTCTGTTCAGCACTATAGGATATTTCACTAAATTAAAAGCACTACATAAATGAAAGACCAATACAAATCACTTTGCAAGAATTGGTTTGAATTTCGACTTGGAAATAATGACCTGCAAGAGATGATATCTTAACTAAGTTATTATTCTAAACATACGTATCCAAAAATTAGTGAAGGGGATTTTCCAAGGCAAATTGGGCAGAATATATGTCTTTAGAATTTAAATGCCTAGGTCGATGTTAGGTGGTCCATCTAGTTTAATTCTTATTTGACTTTCCTATAGGTATTTGATACAACTAAGTGGCTAACTGACCATTTTAAAGGGTAGTTAATGTCAATCACATCAGTTAACCATAATCCTACCATTTTGTCTCCTTAAAACCTGTAACAATTTTCCTTTATACAACTAGACTAGCTTATTCCTGAAGCCTGGGTTCTATCAGCTTACCCATGCCTCTTGTTTATCTGGGCTTTCCTGCGTATGCTCTCTTGTAAATTTCCAGTGTTCTTTACCCATTCGTAACCTTCCTTTTTAAACTTGCAATAATTAGTAGAACTTAAGGGACACAGAGTAGTAACTGCATGGAAATTCTTTGGGAATTTCTGTGTAATAAGCACAGTGGTAGAATGCATGACATTGCTTGAAAATTTCTCTCCAATCTAGCTAGAGTCATTGGTGACCTTTAAAACATTTTTTGAAACGGTTTAAAGTTCTAATCAGGACAAGAAAATCTACAGAAGATTCAAACTTACAACATTATTTCAACTGTGATTGTGTTCTTTTGCAGATATACTTCCAACTTTAAGTTATCCTCACTTCTGGTTGTGTACTGATCCTGACCTTACATACTCCAGCCCCAGGCAGAAGTACCTCATGTCCTGAACTTTGTTCCTCCAAAACTGCAACAGTTTATATAAATCCAATGCAAATACAGCTGTATCCTAATACGGCAGCACTCACCTCTGAGTCAGGAGGTCAAATATTCAAGATCTACTCCACAACTTGAGAACATAAATGTAGGCTGACACCAGTACAGTATTAAGGCTGTGCTCTATTCAGACATGCCGTCCATTGAATAATATTGTACTAAAGGGATTTTGCCAGCTTTGACATATTCACAGGATGGCAGAGAGATGCATTCCAAAGGAATTTTTGAAAGCAGTGGGACACAGAGCCCAAATTCCAGTAGGCCACAATAAGATTTGCTTTAAGGATGTTTGCCAGCATGGCACAGAGGTCCAAAACATTGATTATTGTACTTGGGAAAGTCAATGACAAAGGGACATGATAATGTCACCTGTGGATCAATGTGCTCCAAATGACAACTAGCAACTTTGCAATAGATGCCATTACTGAAACCACAGGCCACAGTAGCACCTGATAAACGCTTCATATGCATCAGTTTTGCAGATCTTGTCTCTGAGATTGGTCTCTTCAGCTACCAGCAAAAGCACATCATATGAAACTACCCCATCCCTCTGTGGAGTGAATTTGCTGCATAGCCATTATCTTATGTATAATATACAAAATTCCCCGGGTGTCACTCATTTGTCATGCAATGCCATCAAATGAGGTTACTGGTTTTGATGCTGAACATGTTATGAGACCTTGGAAACTGACTGTTGCATTTGCCTAAGGAACAACGTTGACTAGATCTGAAACATAATGCAATAACTTCTTATAAAGAGTTTTAGGATGCCCATGGAAGTTACTATGTAAATGCAAGTTTATTCTTTTGATACAGAATAGACTTCGGGACAGACATAGCACAACAGACAATTAAGACTCAGTAGTATACACTCAGCTACATCTCCATTGCCTATTTGTCCCAAATTAACTTATTCTCCCTCCCAACATGAATTCAGACTGCTAGGTTCAACACACAGATGTGGCAGTCAGATACGTTACTCTCCCATAGTGTAAGGCGCAGAATCACTTCTGCACTGGTTTGGAAATAAGTATCCGGTAAACAGGCTTTTATAGAAGATGAGGGAAAAAGAAAAGGGATGAAATATGCACAGAAATACAGCCATAAAGGAAAATAAAAACAGAGCGCAAGAAAAACAAGCTCGCACAGAGAACAAGATATATGCATCGAGGGAACAAGAGAAACTCAAACAAAGCTAGAGATAATGACAGAGGGAGAGAAAAAGAAAACAAAATTTTTTAAAAAGTGCAATACCGATAAAAGTAACAAACAATAGGGAAGAAGATAAGTGAAGACAATTACATTGACATTTAGTTTTTCCTCAATGAGATTCACCTGAAAGATTCACCATACGATGTCCGATTTAAAATTAAATAACATACATTCCCAGTCTATTGTGGGACACAGCTACAGAGATGTGCTAAGACAAATTTGAAAATTGTTTCATGTATTTTGTTCATCACACTAATTTTCACAATTACATTTTGGGTACTCTATTTATTACAGAGAATGCTCATTGAGAGATCTTAGCCACATTTGGTTTGTTGATATCTCCTCAAAATTGAAGAAACTCTTTTTTAAACAGTCAAATAAAATTCTGCTGATTGAAAAAGACAGATGTCTTCAACATTTAATCAATGTCTTCAAATATTGTTTTATTTTGTGTCTCCAAAATGAAAACAATTAAAATGAAACATGGTGTAGAATGCACTAACCTTAGTTCCATATAAATACTGTGGCTGTGCATTTGGTTGTTTATCTCTTTGAAACTCTTGGGAGAAGGGCAGCACAGTACGCACAAACCTGTGGAAAAAGGAATAATAATGAAAGGCGCAATATGTCACGAAAAGCAACACAGAAGTGTTATTACAGTGTGGCACATGGTGAAAATGTATTTCAAATAAAACAAAAACATAAATGAAGCTCTTCTACAGCTAAAACAAATATTGAACGAACCAGAAAGATCTTGGATTCAGTCCTTCAATTTAGCGAAGTTAATGATAATGGTACCTGGGATGGGTGACTGGCAATAATCAGCAGAAAGTTGCCTCTACCAGCTGCTGTTACAAATGATGAGTTAGGCAAAGGCATAGCGGTAATGTCCTAGACTAATGTTCTCAGGACGTGGGTTAAAAATCCCACCAGGGCAGCTGGTGGAATTTAAATTCAATTAATACATCAGGAACAAAAAACTAGTCTCTGTCACCAATTAGATAATTATGACAAATAATCATTGCTGCAAATACACATCTGTGCCCATATGCAAAAAGATCCAGACAACATCCATAGTTGGGCTGACAGGTGACATGTAGCATTTGCGCCGCACAAGTGCTGGGCAATTACCATCTTCATAAGAAAGAACTCAACCATTGCTCCTTGATACTTAGGGGCATTCTTATTGCTGAATTCCCACACTACCAACATCTCAGGCCAGAAACTGAACTGTACCAGTCATGCAAACAATGTTACCACAAGAACAGGTCAATGGTTAGCATTTCTCAGTGAGCAACTCAGTTCCTGATTCCCCATCAACTCACTATCAACTACGTCCAAGTCTTTCAGAATAGTGGAAGTAGTGGCATAGGAATAATGTCACTGGGCCAGTAATCAAGAGCCCAGTCCTCAGTAAAGGGCTCACCTTTATCCCCCTCCACCCTAACATCAACGAATACCGCTCACGCTTGGACGTTGGAATAGTTTTTCCGCCACCTCCGCCTCCGCACTTACTTCTTAATCATGAGCCTAACCCTCCCCCTATTGACCCCTTCTCCCGCCTCCAACACACCCCCTCCTCCTGGACACCACCCTAAGGCCTCCTACCCTCCCTTGACCTCTTCATCTCCAACTGCCGTCGAGACATCAATCGCCTCAACCTCTCCACCCCTCTCACCCACTCCAACCTCTCCCCCACAGAACGTGCAGCCCTCCGCTCCAATCCCAACCTCACCATAAAACCCACAGATAAGAGAGGTGCAGTTGTAGTATGGCACACTGCCCTCTACGTCGCCAAGGTCAGACGCCAGCTCTCTGACACCTCCTCCTACCGCCCCCTTGATCATGACCCTACCCCCGACCACCATCATCTCCCAAACCATCCACAACCTCATCACTTCAGGTGACCTCCCACCCACAGCCTCCAACCTCATCGTTCCCCAACCCCGCACCACCCGTTTCTATCTCCTTCCCAAAATCCACAAACCTGACTGCCCTGGTCGACCCATTGTCTCCACCTGCTCCTGCCCCACCGAACTTATCTCTACCTATCTCGACTCCATTTTCTCCCCCTTGGTCCAGGAACTCCCCACCTATGTCCGTGACACCACCCACGCCCTCCACCTCCTCCAAAACTTCCGATTCCCTGGTCCCGAACACCTCATCTTTACCATGGACATCCAGTCCCTATACACTTGCATTCCCCATGCAGATGGCCTAAAGGCCCTCTGCTTCTTCCTGTCCCGTAGGCCCGACCAGTCCCCCTCCACTGACACCCTCATCCGCTTAGCTGAACTCGTCCTCACCCTTAACAACTTCTCCTTCAATTCATCCCACTTCCTACAGACAAAGGGGGTGGCCATGGGTACCCGCATGGGCCCAAGCTATGCCTACCTCTTTGTAGGATACGTGGAGCAATCCCTCTTCCAAAGCTACACTGGCCCTATCTCCCACCTCTTCCTCCGTTACATCGACGACTGTATCGGCGCCACCTCGTGCTCCCACGAGGAGCTCGAACAGTTCATCCACTTCACCAACGCCTTCCACCCCAACCTTAAGTTCACCTGAACCATCTCTGATACCTCTCTCTCCTTCCTGGGCCGCTCTGTTTCCATCTCTGGCAACCACCTGGAAACCGATATCCATTTCAAGCCCGCCGACTCCCACAGCTATCTAGAATACACCCCTCCTCATACCCACCTTCCTGCAAAAATGCCATCCCCTATTCCCAATTCCTTCGCCTCCGCCGCATCTGCTCCCGGGATGAGGTATTCCACTCCCGGACATCCCAGATGTCCTCGTTTTTCAAGGACCGCAACATCCCACCACAGTGTTCGAAAACGCCCTCGACCGCGTCTCTCGCATTTCCCGCAACTCATCCCTCACACCCCCTCCCCGCAATAACAACCAAAACAGGATCCCCCTCATCTTCAAGTACCACCCCACCAACCTCCGGATCCAACGCATCATCCTCCGACATTTCCGCCATCTGCAATCCGACCCCACTACCAAAGACATTTTTCCCTCCCCACCCTTATCTGCTTTCCGGAGGGACCACTCTCTCCGTGATTCCCTCGTCCGCTCCACACTCCCCACCAGCCCCACCACCCCGGCACTTCTCCCTGCAACCGCAGGAAGTGCTATACCTGCCCCTAAACCTACCCCCCTCACCCCCATCCCAGGCCCCAAGAAGACTTTCCACATCAAACAGATGTTCACCTGCACATCTGCTAATGTGGTATACTGTATCTACTGTTCCCGATGTGGCCTCCTCTACATCGGGGAAACCAAGCAGAGGCTTGAGGACAGGTTTGTGGAACACCTATGCTCAGTTCGCAACAAATGACTGCACCTCCCAGTCGCGAACCATTTCAACTCCCCCTCCCACTCCTTGGACGACATGTCCATCCTGGGCCTCCTGCAGTGCCACAACGATGCCACCCAAAGGTTGCAGGAACAGCAACTCATATTTCGCTTGGGAACCCTGCAGCTCAATGGTATCAATGTGGACTTCACAAGCTTCAAAATCTCCCCTCCCCCAACCGTATCCCAAAACCAGCCCAGCTTGTCCCCGCCTCCCTAACCTGTCCTGCCTCCCACCTATCCC